TTCTTGAGAACATATTTGTTTTCCTCGTGTTTGGGAAAAAAGCTGAAAGAGGCCCTGGCTGATGCTGGGACCTCATTTCTGGAAGTGAATATGAAATTCTGCACCATCAGTGTACTAGCAGAGAGAGAGAGGGTCACGTAGGCTTGTAAATATTAAATTTGAAGGCAAGCTCACTAGCCAGAAGTTGTAAATAAAGAAAGAATAACAGCAATTGGAATCAATCACCTTTTCTCCAAATATGATTTTGCTAAGTGATGAGAGAATAACTGAGAAAAGACACGCCTTAATCTTGAGGATCCAATACCGAAGTAGCTTTCCTCAAACTGTGAAGCGTCAGGCGTTGCGTGCCTCTAGGAATATAGCAGAGAAAAGCTAGAAATAGGGACAGAACATATATAGTCTTCCAAATCGACAGAGAGGCTGACTCTGATGGAGGAACTTCTCCAGGTTTTTTTCCACAAAGGAGAAAGCTGACTTTCCTAAAAGATCACCCTTTCTAATTTCATCAACTGTTAAATAAGAAGCAGGGGGCACAAAGGTTCAGCGGTTAAAGACACTCAGCTTATCAGCTGGAAAGAGGTCAGCCCGGGTTTGAGATCTGAAGGCTGTTGATGAGCTCCTGTTCCTTGCTCCAGCTCCTGCCTGCTTAGCAGCTCAAAAGCATGCAAGTGTGAGTAGATAAATAGGTACCACTTCGGTATGAAGGTAACAGTGTTCGATGCACCTTTGGCTGGACAGGGAAACATTTACTTGTCTTAAGAAGCTTACTTGAAATGTTTACTCTGGATCCTACAGTATATCACCCAGTTATCAACCACTGAACACTTGTCACCTCCATATACATACTGCTGTTTGGGGGCTACAGAATCTCAGCGTCCTCTGCCATTATTTCCAATTTCATCTCTTTATGCAGGTAGTTCTCCACTTTCAACCCCAATGGGGACCAGGATTTCCTTTGCTAAGCAAGGTGGTTGTTAAAGGAATCATGAGCATTTCCACCACCACCCCTTTTTTGTTTTGCTGAGGTTGAGCAAATCACCGCAATTGTGAAGTGAATCACACAGACGTTAGGTGAATCTGGTTCTGCCCCTTTGACTTTGCTTATCGGGGCCAGTTGCAAGTGACAATCCCATGATACCCAGGATGCTGCAACTGTTGTTAAGTACATGCCAGTTGCCAAGATTATCACCTGACCGTGGAGATGACAGTGAGGACTGGCTATAAGTCGTTCTTTTTTCCAGTGGTGCCGTAACTTCGAACAGTCACTAAAGAGATGGCTGTAAATCAAGGATTACTTATACTGTCTTGTTCATTGGTGCATGACTCTTAGCAGCCCTAGGCTTAAGAATTGCATTATGAAGGTTTCCAATAATTATTCCGTGCTCCTTCCGAGGGGGGGGGGGAAACACCTCATGTGGCTGTTAATTAACAACCACAATTAAAAGCAGGAACAGAGATGTTAGATGGTTCTGGCTATGAAACTCTGATATAGTATCAGGGCTGGAACAGCTGTAATGGACCTAAGTGGCCATACAGGTAGTCCTCAGCTTTACAACAGTTCATTTAGTGACCATTCAAAGTTGGAACAGCACTGAAAAAAAAAGACACGATTGTTTTTCATACTTACGAATGTTGCAGCCATCCCCATGGGCACGTGAACAAAATTGTATTTATGAAGGTTGTGTGTATCCTGGAGTTGCGTGATCACCTTTTTTGACCTTCTGACCAGCAAAGGTCAATGGGGACACCAAATTCACTTAACAACCATGTTACTAACTGAACAACTGTTAAGTGATCCACTTAACAACCGTGGCAAGAATGTGGGAAAAAATTCATTTAACAAATGTTTCGCTTAGCAATTTTGGGCTCAGGCATAAGTCAAGGACTCCCTGTGCAAAGCATGAAATAAATTCTTTCTCCCAGATCTAAACAACTACATAAAAAGACTAAATTAGGGGTAGTGTGAACAGAGAATTTTAAAACATTCCAAACTAAAGAAATAGTCAGTTGTGAGAACTATGTGCTCACTTGCATTGAAGATGATGTTGCAGAGAAAAAAATTACCGTATTCAGAAAGCAATGTTTTTAACACACATACACACACCACACACACACTTACTTCTGTGATCTTTGTTTAAGATAAATATACTTCCTGAGCTCTCTAAAGATCCAGGAGGTACTTTCAGCACTTGAAAACAACTGTGTATACTTCACTAAGTCTTTTCTTTGTTTTGCAAAGGGTCTTAAAGACCTTAAACTTGAAGGACTTTGAACCCCACTGCTTCCGAATTCTTCAAAATTATTCACTCAGTACACCACTGAGTACACCATTTGATCTACAAGTATCTTGGGAACAGGAAGGAAAACCCATTTGGTCAAGTGATATTTAAAAAATATCACTTATTTAAAAACAAAAAACGTGGTTTTGAAAAGAGAACAAAGGAACGTCTTGGAGACCAATTTTGCTCTAGTAATTCTCAACTTCAGCTGCAGAAGTGCATGAAGGTCAAGGTTCAAAGTTGGATATTATGAGAAACCCTAGTTTGTTTTAAACCATGATGGCTGGGCTCACCTATTAATAATGCTAAATCATTATTTGTAGTTTTAGGACAATATTTAGGGCTCATATGTTATGTCCGCTCAAAAATACAAGGATCTATATTTTAGTTTCATAAAATGTGTGAACAAACTCAAGACAACATAGGGATTGAATGTTTGGGCAATCTGCTTTTATTAGTGGCTATTTTTTTTAATGATTTGTTATTTATTTATGTCCCATTTTTATTATTTTTTATTAACAACTCAAGGTGGCAAACATATCTAATCCTCCTCCTATTTTTCTACAACAACCCCATGAAGTGGGCTGGACTGAGAGAGAGTAGTTGATCCGAAGTCACACAGCTCACTTTCATATCTAAGCTGGGACTAGCACTCTCCGTGTCCTAGTGATTGCCCCAAAGTCACCCAACCAGTTTTCATGGCTAAGGAACTAGAAGTCATTGTCTCTTGGTGATTGGCCCAAACACCTAGCTAGCTTTCATACCTAAGGCGGGACTAGAACTGTCTCTGTGTGATTGGCCCCAAATCACTCATTTGGCTTTCATGCCCATGATGGGTCTAGAGCTGTCTCCTGGTTTCTAGCCTGGTGCCTTCACCACTAGACCAAACTGTCTAGCTACCACATATGTAATGTTACTCCTTCATTCCAATTCTAACTTCCACCCAAAGGAGATGCTGTGATAGGAGGACAGATGCCATCGTTAATTCCTTGAAGGCACAGCCAATAAAAAAAATGTACACCTGTATCATCTCCCCAGGCAGAGGTGGACCCAATCTTGTTCACCCAATCTAACCTGTTTCTGGAAAGCCACGTCACACAACACCTCTCATTCTTGTCCATGTTGACTGCAGCTGTACCTGAAGAGTTCCTGGTCCTGAGCCCAAGAGCACAACGTTATCAGTTAAAAGATTGACAAAAGGGCAACAGAAGCAGGAGACAGAGAAGGAACTATTTCTATTATTGAAGATGATTGAACCAAGGGAGCGGAGAAGCTGGGAAATCCCATTAAAACCAAAGCTCCATAATTCCTTAAACTAGAGCAGGGGTCTTCCCACTTGGCCCTTTTATGACTTGTGGACTTCAACTCCCAGAGTTCCTCAGCCAGCGTGCCTGAACCCCTGAACTAGAGCGATGGTGCCTACCCAGCTGTTTCATTTAAAGTTCCCCATTTGACCTTGATGCTGATTACTTTGTACAGGATTACTACACAATCCTTGGGAGTGCTTCATGGCAGAACTGTTGACACAGGAAATGGCTCCGTCTAGCCTGTGCTGGATACGAGGGGAAGAATTCCTGCTATTTTCTCCTTCGTGCGTTATGCAAATGTTCTTTTTAAATGTAGGTAATTTAACACGCCATTTGGGATCGTTCCCCGGCACTCTTAATCTGGATTTATACATAACTCGAGCACTTTGCAGGGTATTTTAAAATAAAGTGAGTTTGGGTCTCCCCCCCCCCCAAAAAAAAAATTGTGGCTAGGACATTTTAGTACACCAGATAAACTCCTTCTTTGCTTATAGTATTTGCCTGATTCTGCTCTAGTACAGTGGTTCTCAACCTGTGGGTTGGGACCCCATTTGGGGTTGAACGACCATTTCACGGGGGTCGCCGAACAAGGCTGTCCACCATTTTTCCCCCTTTTCTTTGGCCACGCCCCTGGCACCCAGTGATGTATAAGTGGTTGGGGGTCACTACAACATGGGGAACTGTATTATGGGATCACGGCATTAGAAAGGTTGAGAACCACTGCTCTAGTACATTGACCGGAACCTGGACCCAGTTCCCTACAGTTGAGGGCACAGAATGAAGACCATTTCTGGACAGGGAATTGTCCAAGACCAAGGTGTAGCAAAGGATGGAGGAATTTTGATCAGGTTCAGAGAAATGCAGCATCAATTTTCTCTGGCTTTCTCCTCTGGTGTCCACCATCACCCACGTCCTTCCTCCTCACCAATGGAGTTTTTAAACTCAACAGGCATTGAAAACTCATTATCAAAGGTTCCCTCTTAAGGGGGACAGGTGTTTTCCTTACTCTGGCTAATCCCAAAGATGCCTTTTTCCAAAAGGTAAATGGACTTTCTTGGGGTTTTTTTTTTCTTTGAAAACATTACCTTATCAAGAAGCTTCTTCAGTTCAGTCAGTACAGCCATGACCTGGATGACTGAGAATCTCCGTAGACATTTACTCTGGGTGATCTTTGTATCTTTCCAAACAGAAAATTCACACAAGATGTAGACAAACACCAACTTTAATTTTGCCATGTATTCAATTCAGGGAGTCCCTCCTCTTCAAACATACTTAAAGCTAGACTGACAAACCAAAGAAGAACTCCACACTTAAGAATCTACAAACACCTCTTACACCCTCGGTTGGGTGCATCTATATATGGTTGATCTACACCAGGGGTCTTCAGACTTGGCCCTTTTATGACTTGTGGACTTCAACTCCCAGAATTCCTCAGCCAGGGTGCCTGGCTGAGGAATTCTGGGAGTTGAAGTCCACAAGTCATAAAAGGGCCAAGCTTGAAGACCCCTGATCTACACTCATCCAATTTGGTTTGGCCTTTGCAGCAAGTCCATCATAAAAAAAGTGCAAACCATCCCAATTCTCTAAATGAGTAATAGCATCCCATATGGTTAAACAAACAGCAATTCAGTACACTTCTTCAAAGCCAGTTGAGGGGCTGCAAAATGATTGAGTTGAGTTCTGTTGTCTCTCCAGAAACAAAGGACTTGAGCCATTTACATCAATTTTGGAAAACAATCAAACCTTCACTTGGTAGTTCTGAGATTCCAGGAATACTGTAAATTTCAAGGACAAATACATGATGTACAAAATAGAAAGCAAAAAAAAAAAAAAGAGGGATTAATTGCTGTTTGCTGCAATTAAAACAGAGAGGTCATATCATGGAATGCCCATATAAGTACATAAGGAGCACCAAAATTAAATTAAAACATGCAGAAAGTAAAATTACATCTCTCCAGGAATGTAGATAAAGTCTTATCCTATTCTCCAGATTGTTCACATTTAAAACGTTTTCTCTCCTCATTCTGAACTCCTTTGCAATTCCTCCAGGTTCTTGAACTAACTACTTTATTGGGCAGAAATAGCTCTGGAACATCCTTTATAGGAGTCCCTGGTCTCTACCAGAATTTTATCTGTTGGTCCTTCTTCAACAGCTCCTGCGTCAGACCAACAGCAACGTTTCATATGAGATCATGCCTAGGGCTTTGCCTCTTTGCTTCACAGTATGAATTAACACATGAGTCTTTAAACTTGGCCCTTTTATGACTTGTGGACTTCAACTCCCAGAATTCCTCAGCCACACTGGCTGAGGAATTCTGGGAGTTGAAATCCACAAGTCATAAAAGGGCCAAGTTTGAAGAACCCTGAATTAACGTGTTGAAGTACTAGCTTTTTCAGCTTTTCCACAGACTGAAGTCATTAGTGGTGTTGTTTGTGCTGCCTCCATCCGGGAATCGGGGATCAAAAACTCCACCAGGATGTCCATAAGGGAGTAAATGACATGCCTGAAAAGAAAGAAGGATTTTGAACCAACGTGACAGTAGATTCCAAGTACAAATATCCAAGGAGATGAATCCTCTAGTATTAGAAATGGCTTAATGGTGTGGTTTGTTGAATAATAAGCTCAAGACATCATCACCTATGACAGTGATGGTGAACCTTTTAGAGACTGAGTGCCCAAACTGCAACCCAAAACCCACTTATGTATCATCGGGTGCCGGGTGGACATGGCCCATTTGATGGGTGTGGCCAATCGGGTGGGCGTGGCTGTGCTGGTAACGGCAGATGGGGTGGGATTAAAAAGTTCAATCAATCAATTCCAACTTTGCGAGATTTTTTTTTCCCACGAGAAGTTGAAATTGATTGATTGAACCTTTTTTTTTTTTGCACATGACGAGAGAGGTCTAAAGCAAAAAGGTTTTATAAAACCCAGCTGAAGGCCTAGGACTGGGGCGAGGGCACGTGTGCCCACAGAGAGGGCTCTGCATGCCACCTGTGGCACCTGTGCCATAGGTTCGCCACCATGGACCTATGAGATAAAGCCAGGTAGTTTCTTAGCAACAATATGGAGGTGGCTTCTGTCTTCTTCCACAACACTTTTCTTTCTAAGTTGGTTTCCTATCCGAGGACTAAATCAATCTCAACCTGCTTTGCTTTTTCAAGATCAGTCAAAGCCTTCTAGATGCTGTCAGCTGTTTATAGGAGCCCCGCTAATCTCATGCTCAAAGAGATGTTAGGACTTTAACACATCACATTAACAGCCGGCATCCAGCTGGGGAGTGACCTTTTATAGTGTCGCTTTATTTAGATTACGGGGAAAGAACTTATCGCTGGGAGAAAAAATATGGAACGGCTTTAACAGGAAGCCCTCCATTTGTAGGTCTTGCCTATTTACTAAACCTAGCATTCCATTTTATCTCTCAAGATCCCGTGCTAGAAGTAGTCCTTGTTTAGGGACTGATCAAAATTAGAATGGCACTGAAAAAAGGAACCTGTGACTGATGCATGCACTGATAACCATCGTAGCTTCCCAGCCAGCGGTAACATGATGAAAAATCAAATACTTGGCAACTGGTACGGATTTACAACAATTGCAGCATCCTGAATTTGAGGGGCTACCAAAAAACCCATTTTCCAAAGCACCAGAAATCAAGACAAGAACCGTCGGATGGAAACTGATGGAGGAGAGAAGCAACTTAGAACTAGAAATTTCCTAACGGTGGAACGGCTTGCCTGCAGAAGTTACGGGTGCCCCATCAACATGGGTGGCTTTCAGGAAGAGTCTGGACAGCCGTTTATCTGACATGGTATAGACCAGGGGTCTTCAAACACGGCCCTTTTATGACTTGTGGACTTCAAGTCCCAGAATTCCTCAGCCAGGCACGCTGAAGTCCACAAATCATCAAAGGGCCAAGTTTGAAGACCTCTGGTATAGACTCTCCTGCTCAAGCACGGGGTTGGACTACATGACCTTCAAGATCCCTTTATTCTACATGACCTCCAAGATCCCATTGTTCTATGTTCTATACAAATGGCATTCACAACCTTCCCAGTTGGCTTCCAACAAGCAAAGTTGACGAGGGAAGCCAAATTCGTTTAAGGACGCAGCAAAAAAGGTGGAAAAGCACTCACTTAGTGACCGCATGTCTTACTGATGAGAGATCTGTGATCCTAAGCTGAGGGCCACTTGTTATTTTATTCAATGGCTCTGCCCAGTGTAAGTATTGACTCATTTTCCTATCTTGATATCATACGGCGAAAAGTTACCTGTTGATGCTTGGATGCTGCATGGATTCTAAGACAAGGCTCCAGCTTTGTTGACATTTATTGATACCTAAAAATTCTTGGAGTGACTCTGTGGGAATCAGAGACTGGTATGAATTCACAAGAAAAAAAATGGTAACAGTATAATACAACACAGGGCATCCCAAAGGTGTTTTTTTTTTTCAAGAGGCCACTGGAGTTTCTTGTTTGAGAACAATAGGAGAACAAATCCATCAACAGTCCATCTGCATGTAAAAGACAAAGGGCACTCTTTTGAAGACAGCTAAGTCCACATCTTGGACAGAGAGGACCACTGGTTTGAAAGAGAGGTCAAAGAGGCCATCCAGGTCAAAATTGAACAGCCCTCTCTCAACAGAGGGGGAGGGATATGACATCATCTATCTCCAGTCTACAACTCCGTCCTTTTAGCAGTTCCAAGAAGGCTCCACGCTCTACTAAGATGACCTTGAAAACACAAATCAACCTCCAAGTGGTCTCAACAGCTCTTTGAAAGAAGGCAAATGACCAGCTGTCTGCAAGGAGTATAAATCCTTCCATTCCCCACCATCCAGTCAGAGCTAAAGAAGCTTCCTGGATGAGAAGCGAAACGTCTTCAAAGAAAAACAAGAAAGTCCAGTTGCCTACTGAAAAAGCACCTTTGGGACAACCATAACCTGGATGATTGAGAATCTCCGTAGACCACACAGGGCATATTTAGGGAAATATCAGTGTTTTGACATCAATGATTAATTCTGCTTTCTCCCGAGCAGAGCCCGTGTTATGGAACAAGCCGTCCTTTGCTTATTGAGGGTTTTAGGAAGAGATTCAAAACATAGTTTTTCACCAGTCCTTTTAATGTTGTGGAACACTGATGTTTTATGTTTGCTTCTTGTGATTTTTCTTTTTTATGTTTTAAAAGAAATGTGTGCTGTGTACGGTATGTCTTTTCAGCCTACACATAAATAAAATGTTTTTTTTAAAAAATGCTTAGAGCTGAAGAAATCAACAGGACACCTTTTGTATGTGGGAGCTTTCAAACCAAGAGGCCCATTTGATGAGCATGATTATGGCTTATTATTATTATTAGCATGCTGGATTCGAAAAAAAAAGAAATGATGGGGGTGAATTGTAGCCAAGAACGAGCCCATTTGGGAGCAATTTTGCATGTTCATGGATGATAGGCTTTCTATCATTTCGTTCAGCTCTATTTCTCTTGTAAGTTGTGTTAGCTCTTGGGGATTCCCTAGATCAGGAAAGAGACTCTAGAATTAAGCTATATTGAAACAGAAAAGAATATTTGCAGCTCAGGGTTGAACTGTGAGGTCCTTGGTGCTCTCTGAGCTTGGTGGCCTTCTTGCAGATGTTTCATGACCCAACTAGGTAATACCATCAGTGCTAGTGAGATAGCTCTATTATCTTTTATTTTCTCTGATTATCTTGCAAATTTGATTGTGTTTTTCTTCCCCTCCCCTATGACTTGGGGGTGGGGGGCAGACTGTGTCTCTTCCTAGAACTATTACCTTTCCCAGGGATCAGGGAATGAGTGTCTTTAGGGTTGTCCCTCAAGGCCGTTCCCATGACTGTCTACAACAGTGGTTCTCAACCTTTCTAATGCCGCGACCCCATAATACAGTTCCCCATGTTGTGGTGACCCCCAACCACTTATACATCACCGGGTGCCAGGGCTGTGGCCAAAGAAAAGGGGGAAAAATGGCGGACAGCCTTGTTTGGCGACCCCCGTGAAATGGTCATTTGACCCCAGATGGGGTCCTGACCTACAGGTTGAGAACCATTGGTCTACAAGGAGGAAACTCTTTATGTCTGGGTTTTACCCACCAGGCAGTATTGCCATGAGAATCTGCAGGGCCTGTTCCTTAGTCTCAGCCTTCTGCTCTTCCGTCCTGAGTGGTTTGGGCACCACGGGCAAGATTCCGCCAGGCCAAATGGATTCCTGGAGCAGCCGAAGGTATTGCACCCAATGCTGGGTGCAGGTCAAGTTGTCTACTTGGACTTCAACCCACCTGTAGGGGAGAAAATACAAATAAGGGAAGGGAATTGTAGGAACAAGTGGATACTTTCAGGTACAAGAGTGCAAACCTGTAGAACAAAATGAGAGAGGGAGAGGGAGAGGGAGGAGAGAAAGGAGAGAGAGAGAGAAAGAGAGAGAGAGAGAGAGAGAGAAAGAAAGAAAGAAAGAAAGAAAGAAAGAAAGAGGAAGAGGGGAGGGAGGGAGGGAGAAAGAAAGAGAGAGAGAGAAAGAGGGAGAGGGAGAGAGAGAAAGAAAGAAAGAAAGAGAGAGAGAAAGAGGGAGAGGGGAGGGAGGGAGAGAGAGAGAGAGAGAGAGGGAGAGAGAGAAAGAAAGAAAGAAAGAAAGAGAGAGAGAGAGAGAGAGAAAGAAAGAAAGAGAGAGAGAGAGAGAGAGAGAGAAAGAGGGAGAGAGAGAGAGAAAGAAAGAAAGAAAGAGAGAGAGAAAGAGGGAGAGGGGAGGGAGGGAGAGAGAGAGAGAGAGAGAGAGAGAGAGAGAGAGAGAAAGAGGAAGAGATAGATATGCCCTGGCAGCTTCAAAGCACCTGAAGGCAAAACAAGAAACAATGGATAGAAACTAGTCAAGGAGACAACCAACCTAGAAGAAAGGAGAAATTTCCTGACAGTGAGAACAATTTATCAGTGGAACGACTTGTCTCCAGAAGTTGTTCAAACCCTGGAGGTTTTCAAACAGAGATCAGACAGCCATTTGTCTGAAATGTTACAGGATCTCCTGCCTGAGCAGGGGGTTGGACTAGAAGACCTCCAAGGTCCCTTCCAATTCTGTTATTCTGTTAACACATCTCTCTACCCACCCCCGATGCATTAGGTTAGAACAGTTCCCTCTGTATTTGATAGCAGACACATCACAGACAATAAACAAACCCAAAAGAAGAACACAGAGGACCCAGACATAGGAGAACTGACTTTGGAGGTGCTTGACAAAGTATTTTCGGAACAAACAGGCGAGCAAAAAATACACTGATTGTGTCTATAAAAAGAGAAACAACCCCTCCCTCCCCCCCACTTGAGCCTTGTCTCGTCCATCAAAACAGAACATGACCACACTGGATCTGAGCAATTTAGAACCAGATGGCACTGAAGTAAAAACAAAAGGCAGAAAAGCAGCATCTTAAACTTCTAGTGGCATGCCATCAATCAATCAATCAATCAATTTCTATCTGCTAAATCCACCCAAACTTTATGATATGTTGACAACGGCTCACTAAAGCATTCATAATGCAAACAGTTGCTAGGCTGCTGACAAACAAAGTCAAGGGTAGGGTGTGGATTCAATTAACAACCACGTGATTCCCTTATCAACCGTGGCAAAAAGGCCGTAAGATCAGGCGCGACCCACAAATTGACACTGCTTAACAACGGATGTTCTAATCCCAGTTGAGATAAGTCGAGGACTATCCGTATAGAGCTTGGGCTCCGAACAACAGTGGTGCTTTCACAAGAAATCCTGATGACTCTTCTTTCTATCAAATCTACAAACTTCATTTCCTGGGCCTTTATTTTATTAAGCAAGATCACCCACGCTTGGCATTCTTCTGTGCTAATTTCCCGATATGAATTCCTGCCTTTTCTCTCTTGCTGGAAAAATTGGGAGCTAGCAGCCCTGCGCAGAGTAATAAAACCTGCAGCCGAACAAGTTGCTAAGTATTTTTCAAGGGAGACAAATACAAGCACTCCCCAAATTAAGCAGCCTATAAATCAGTATATATGAAGGAGGAGGTTGGAACTTTTCAAGAGAGCCAGCCAAGATTTGCCGAGAACGGCCCAATATGTTACGTGAATTGTTCCTGCCTTCTGCCCTGCAGAAGTTTACAATGGTGTAAACCCTGAACACTGTGTCCTGTACCCTGGCTGGAAAACAGGGCAATGGAGGGTTTGTTTAGCAGATCTTCAATCTTTTCTGATCCCAAAACCTGGTGGAGAAATGCACGGTGATGGCTTTGCCAGCTTAGATCTGGAAGGCACAAGCCTTATGCCTGAATCTACTCTCCCCTTAGGTTAAAGGGGAGCCAGGGCCAAAGGCAACTGATCTTCCTGCTCTAAACCAGGGGTAGGCAACCTTGGCTCTTTTATGACTCGTGGACTTCAACTCCCAGAATTTCTGCTCTAAACATTTAGAGCAGTGGTTCTCAACCTGTGGGTCGGGACCCCATTTGGGGTCGAAAGACCATTTCACGGGGGTCACCAAACAACGCAGTCCGCCATTTTTTTCCCCCTTTTCCTTAGCTGTGCTACTCCCTTTTATTCTATTGGCTTTTGAAAGCCAATAGAATAGACTCTCTTGAATAGAGTCTAATTCTATTGGCTTTCAAAAGCCAATAGGAATTGTCCAGGCTGTCTCTGCCCTGCTGAGCCCGCCAAAAGTCCCATTCTGCAAACGGTGCTGCACCAGTTGAGTAGTCCTCGACTTATGACCGGTTGGGGGGTCGCAGCATTAAAAAGGTTGAGAACCACTGCTTTAGATTAAATGTTACCCTACCTACCCCTACTCTAAACATTTAGAGTAATTCTTGCAAAGCAGGATGGTGGGGACAGGTATGGAGTTGTGGAACGAAACTGCAGGCACTCCATAAGGTATACGTTTCATCAGCCACAGAATTGGCAGTGGCTTGATGTTTAATGATTGGAGGAAGTTCCTTATCTTAAATCATCTTTGATTTAATTCATGAGGCTCCAATGGAGCCCCAGAAGGACAATAAACTCTTTGCACCTAAGCTTGTCCTCTATTAAGAAGGATTGATCTCCTGAATTCAGTGGTCAATAGCAACCCTTCCTTTTCTCTCCAGCTCCTTCTAATAACGCTGCCCAGTTTGGGAAGCATGAACAATTGAGTCCCCGACTTACAACAGTTCGCTTAGCGGCCATTCAAAGTTACAACAGCACTGGGAAAAAAGTGACTTACGACCATTTTTCACACTTATGACTGTTGCAGCATTCCCCTTGGTCACGTGAGCAAATTTCAGAGGCTTGGCAACTGACTCATATTTATGACGCTTGGTGTCCTGGAATTATGCAACCTTTTGCCAAGCAAGGTCATTCACTTAAAGATGTGTTACTAACTTAATAACTGCAGTGTTTCACTTAACAATTGGGGAGATGCAAGGTCGTAAAATGAAGCAAAATTCGCTGAACCAATGTCCCGCTTAGCAACAGAAAGTTTGGGCTCCATTGTGGTCATAAAACTACTTGTGTTGGGAAAACGTCTATCATGGTGTTCTCTCATTTTGTCACAGGAGATGTACAGAAACTGCGGGTTTAAGTCTACGTTGACATAATTCAAAATGCAGCAAAAGAGCTCCCAGCTTTTCCATCCCAAATCCAAGCTCTTGGCATAATCTAATCTTTTTCTGCTTCGCCGTTTGATCCACGGTGCCTTTCTCACCATCTTCAACTCTCCAAGATTGTGCAAACCAGCTTTGTTTGCAACCGCTCCACAGAACACAAACTTCATAACAACGAATCAAATTTATAATAAGCAAACTTAAAACGAGAGAGCCCAAGGCACTTGGACAATTTCTGCTCAGTAGACTTCCTCTCCATATTTAGCAAACGACGAGTGCATATGAGGCCAAGAAAACAAAACAGCACCTATTTAGCCATGATCCCATCCTCTTATAAAGACTCTTAGGAGTTTACATTGTTTTGATAGCTATGTAAAAGGCTTTAGCTCCGTTGGCTTATGTTTATGAATACGACATTCCTTAATCTCCTACTTGACGGATTCTGAAGTTTTATTTATTTTTATTTATTAACGTACCTTTAATGGTTTACGGGTTTTATTTTTTACTTTAAAAAAAAAACAATTGCATGCGTGTGTATGTCTTGAAGACATCTGACATGGGTGAAGGGGTGTTTCCAGTAAATTAATGGACCACTCATTAATTTAGTTCAGATCACAAGTTCTGCAAAATGAAAAGCAGAACGGAAGAGGCCAGAACTAACCCTAGTTAGCCAGAGAGGGGAACAGTGACTTTTTTTTTTTAAAGTAAAAATAAAAGATTTCACAGACTACCATGAATTCATTCTTCCACACTAGAGGCCTATTAACTCTGTAGACTAATTCACCCCAAAGAGAGGCTCTTTTGGCAGAATCCTTTCCTATAAATCAGCAAGGAGGAACGGTCAAGTCCGCTTGCTGCAATGGGTTATCAGGATTTTGTAAGAGGAGGCACTGCTTTTGAAACTTTGGTTTTAAAAAACCCAGTGATTTCGATTAAAATACGAGAGTAACAGAGGAGATCCTATTCCACTGGAACAGGAGATCCTATTCCATTCTGGACAAATGGCTGATCCGTCTCTTCTTGAAAATCTCCAGCGAAGGAGCACCCACAATTTCTGGAGCAAGTTGTTCCACTGATTGTTTTCAGTGTCAAGAAAATTCTCCCTATTTTTAGGTTGGTTCCCTCCTTGATTAGTTTCCATCCATTGCTTCTTGTTCTACCTCCAGGTGCTTTGAAGAATAGATTGACCCCCAACTCCTTGTGACAGCCCCTCAAACATTGGAAGACTGTTATCATGTCACTCCTAGTCCTTCTCTTTGTTAGACCAGTCATATCCAGTTCATCATGTTTTAGCCTCTTTAAAAATTTAAACAATGCCTTTAAAATAACAATCTAACCAAAGCCTGCAATGAACATTTAACAAGCGAACGCATACTATTCTGTGTTTATTTTACATTTAACTGATTTATCTCTTACGAAAAGGAGCATCACGTAAATAGCAGTCAGCGGGCTCGAAGGATTTCCCCCTTTTTCCCCCCACCATGATTACAGACAGCCCACTCCATAATCCAAGTTTCTTGCATCTGGGCTAAACAAGGAAAGAGCCAACAGGTCTGTTTCTGAAAACAAGATATCTTTGGTCTTGCAACTGCCTAGTGCCAATTCCCTACAGAAATGATTTAAGGGGAAGCCAGCAGATAAACCTCAACACTGTTTACGTGTGGGGCTACTCATCTGTCTTAAATAAAGCTCTT